CATAGCAGGTCGGCGGCAAAATCATTAAAAGGTGCATGCGGGCTGCTTGTGTGTCGAGTCCGATGCATGTGCGCTTCGTCCGCGCTGGTTGTGATGGCGCTGCTCGGCTTCTGACTGGTCGTGTGGTCGCGCGCTGAGTGCTTACTGCGGGCAGCGACCGTTATGTTTTGTTACACAACTGACGTGTGTGGGTGTGTGTACAGTGATCGACTACGTGCGAAAGGTAAATAATTTTATGAGTTCCAGCACCTTTTTTCTTACAAAAAAAGCCACTGAGAACCACTGTTTGCATTTCAGCAGAGAGGTTTTGGTTGGTACCTTCTGGAGCACTATGGGAGCCTGGAAACCCAGATTTGATGGTGAAAGCAGTGCAACAAGAAAAATCAAAGTAAATACACCTCCAAATAGAAGACAACAGTGATTTCCTGCCTCTGAAAAAAATGCATCATCTAAGCTATTTCTCACTAGCTAAACCAATCTATACTGTGATTTCTTTCTGCCAAAGTATATAAGCAGAAAGGGAAACTGAAGCATCTACACACAGCTAGACAAAATGCCTCCTCATCTTGGAAGCCTGTACAAAAGTAAACACACCTCTTTCTGCATATGCAACTTAGTTTGTTGTGCAGCTTGTCAAGAAGTGAATCATGTATGCAGTGAGCACCACTGGAGTACTTCAAACACGCTTGCAAATCTCTTTCTATTATCTCCTTGTCTTGTAACTTTTGTTTTCCTTTAGATCAGGGGCAGGCAAGTTGTGGCCCCCAGATGTTTTGTCCTGTAACTCCTATCTCCTCTTGCCAGTGGCTCAGGTTGATGGGAGTGGTAAGCCAAACCATCCAAAGGGCCCAAACCAGGCTATTTTTGCCACCTCCCAATCTGCAGAAAGTTTTCTTACCTTTCAAAACTTCATCAGATTTTCACCACATGTAGCTTTTCCCAACGAGTGATGCTGTGATGGGAGCAGCCACAACCAACAGAAAGTTTGCTGCATCACATGTAGAAGTTATGGGGTGTGAACCTGGAAACTCAAGCATGATGAAAGTGCTTCCACCCATGTTGCTTCCCTACCAGACCACGCAGCTGTCAGGGATCTGTGCAGCCTGTCCAGTCCCACTGGTTGTCTTCTAGTGCTTCCACCGTTCCTGGTAGGCATTTTATATTTTAGCAACACCCCAGCAGAAAGAAAACCATCTGGCAATTATTTATTTTACCACCAGCCAGGTGGAAAAGGCCTCACCTGTAGAATTCACTTGCTTGTTTTTCATTTATTGTAGGTGCATGAGACAAAATGTTGGGAGTTTCTGATGGATAGCACAGAAGTACCATGAGTGGAGAGGTAATCATGCCTGCCACAGCATAGAACTGGGAACACAGAAATCTGCTGTCTGGATTATGGTAGTGGTGGTTATCAAGAATAAGAATAGGAAGAATAATGGAGTGGAGGCCAGAAGGGAAACAAAGGGAAATTCTGAGGCAGAACATCAGCTTTGTCTGACATGTTAGGTTTCTGAAAGAGAAAAAGCAATCTGCTTGACACTGATACTTACATCATTATTTAGAAAATAAGCCCTATTGATTTGAACAGAGTTAGTTTCAACTGCTTAGGAGCTGCAGCTGGTGCAAAATGCTGTAGCCTGAGTGTTGACAAGTAGGACCCCTACCACCTCAGTCCTCAGAGATGTCTCCTGCTTGCCAATTTGCTTCCAAGTCCATGCAATGGACTGATAGTCGCATGTAGAGAGAGCTCCAAGCAGCTTAGCTCCAACATATCTGAAGGAGGACCTTCTTCCCTAAAGACCAGCCTGGGTATTCATACTAGCAGGGAAGAGCCTGATATAAATGCTTCTGCCCTCAGCGGTTTGTAGGGAGATGCTCCTGCGGCCATCCCAAGGTTATAGGACTGCCTCCCTTCCAAGATGCGTTTCATTCCTTCCTGCTGTGCATTCCAACGGCAGGTCGAGATGCACTTCTTTACCCAGGCCTGTGGACACGGATGAAGTTCTGGACTCTGATTAGAAATCAAAGCGGCCAGCCCACAAGGCAGGCAAGGTGCCCTTACTAGGCAGCAAGGTGGGAAGAGGGTCAAATGGCACGGGTTCCCCTGGCCTTGCCCCAGTCAGGAGGGTCACCTCGAGCAGGTGCTCTGGACAGCCCCACAAGCTTCTCTTCTATTTTCCAGGGTGTGGAAGAGGCTGGAGCGGTTCTCACTTGCCACCCCCAGCCTTATTTTTACCACATCCATGGGAGCTCTCTGGAGAGCCATGCAGAGGGAAGGAGCAGCTCTAGGACCCAGCCACCATTTCTCAGCAGGTAGAGGTGTTTATGCTGCTTTATAACATAAATATGATTAGGATCACAGCCTTATTTTCATTTTACTTTCTGGTTCAGTTATAATTTGTATACAAATAGTGTTGTCCTTCAAGTTATGGCAGGGTACCAGCAGTGGGGCGTGCTCCTTGTCAGTCTTGTGGTACTGGCTATGAGTTGGAGTTGCTAGCTTTTGCATAAACAAGACCACCACTTGCTTTAATCTCTACATAACAGGCAGAACACAACAGGAGGTGTTTCCGCTATCCTTACCTCCATAAGAAAAACAGTTGTGCCTGCTGACTGATGCCTATTAAGCATCCATGAAAACAAGGTGCCTTTGTCCATTGAAGAGATGCTCTCAGCAAGCAGAGCTCCATGCCTTACTGCAGTGTGGGTGGAGCTTCTGTAATTCCAACTGTTGATGGGCAGGTCACAGAAGTATTGAGATTATCAGGTTACAAGTGAAGCCCCGAAAGAAAACAAAACACGGAGCCGTTTCAGCTGTGTATTGCTGAATATATGCCAGGAGGGGGAATCAAGAGACCAGAAGGTGGCTTCAGGCATTGCACCTAAACAGAGGCCAGCTTCCCAAAAGTGGAGAGAGGCCTGCTAGGCCTCTCCCAGAATGCACTGCTACCTTCCCTTAGAAGGATGCTGAGCTGAGCCCCAGGGAGATACACTGAACTTTGCACAAAGCAAGGGTGCTTGCATGATGGGAATAAAGGTAGGAAAGCGTGTGGAGGTCTCACCTTCCTATTTTTCCATAGGCTTACAGAAAATTGTGGTAACCACCCTGTGCTTTTTTGTGACACCGTGAACATCTCCCAGTTTTCTAGGATCCAATACTAAGGTCAGCAATGTGCCTGGAGTCAACACTGTCTTCAAGCTACTTCATGGATTTACCATTTAGATATGCCTGCAACTAGACCAAGACTTCCCTTGCAGATGCTAAAGGAGAATGGGGGAATTGAAAGTGTCCAATAGTCACTGCAAACAAGTTCCCACAAACAAAATAGCCTACACTGATCATGGAACACATAGTCACTTCCTCTCCTTAAGAACAAACCGGTCACGAGGTGTCCTCTCTTGTTCTACCCATCTACTCTTCCAGCCCCAGGAAAAGCACAGAAGCACTTCAAACTAATGAGATAAAGTAGATGAAAGAAAAACTAGCAATCACTTTTAGCCATCTTTCTCTTAAACCACAGAGATGAAGGCAAGGCAAAGCAAGGACCAGAGGCCTACTCCTTTTTCCTCTAACAGAGAAACACACTTTGCCCATTCCTTGGCAAACAATATTTTTAAAAGCCAAGAAAGAGTAGGTTTATACAGTCATAACTCCTGGGCTGCCATAATTCCTGTCCATCTTTGGTGACTCATTGCTTAGTAGTATTAACTGTATTTTTTACCATTTATCCATCTTGGGCTGTGGAAGCGCCATGAAATTATTAGAACTCTAGCACTGCAGGAAGGCTTCCAAAAAAGGGACCCACTTTTCAGGGAAAGAATGAAGGGAAGCAGAACACAAAACATATAATGCTGACTTAATACTGTCAGTCTAAAGGGTGTGGCTTCCCAGGATCTCATCTTCTTTAGGTACATATACCCTGTTTTAAAAGCAAAATTTTGTAAAAGTCAATATTAAATTGCTAGAAGTTATACAAATAAAAAGCACACAACTTCATTATAGCAAACAGCCACTTAAAATAGGAGCCCAATAAAGCAAAGCAATTTAAAACCTTTCCAAAACAAAGTCTTCAGAGCATGTCTAAGGAAAGAGACTTGGCAAATTTCCCCGTGAAGTTCTACAGTCATGACGCCACCAGTGAGAAGGCCCTGATCCCATGCACAGACCTTCCAGCATGGTTAACTGGAGTACTTTTCACTGAGGAATGAACCAGGACTTTCTCAGTACAGCACCTGTGCTCTAACACTGAACATTGTAATACAATGTAGTGCCATCATTGTGAAATTAATTGTCTAGGACTGACTACCCAGTTAATGGCATTGCGTGGGATACAGATTTAGTGATACTTACAGCAGACAGATTGGAATCAATAGATCTAAGTGTGACCAGGTCTGGATCTGACCCATTGTATAGGAGTCCCCCCCCCCACACACACACACACACTTTTTGTGTTTTTGTGCCTGGAATGAGAAGGGTGGAGGAATGTCTGTGTGCAGTGAAGTTCAGTGAAGGAGCCTCTGCTTTATATGCTGAAGTTTTAAGCCCCAGGAGAGCTTAAAACTTGGAGTGCTATACCAGTCAATATTGCATTGATGGACCCAGCATAAGGCAGTTTCCTATTTCCAATTGTGCCTGGGGATTCTGGGACTTGTAGTCCAACACATCCAGAGGGTGCCAGGCTGGGGAAGGCTGTTGGGCAGCGTTGACTTCTCTGCCACAGAAAGCTTGTCTGACGTCATTTAACAGAAGACAATGCTCACGCTCTTTTTTGTTGTTCCACATGTGGGAGCGGTGTTTTACAAAAGCCTGGCTGCATATGAAACAAATTCGAAGATGCCAGCCGGGACACATAAATGTGCGTGCATGTGCTTTCTGAAAACAACAAGGAAAAAAGCTAGCGACTTCATTTACCTGATCTTGCTGGAGAGGCAAGTCGAGGAGCCGTTATCAGTGTACCTTCCCAGCACTTCCTTCCTGTCCCGGTCGCTATTAAACCGCTTTTGTATCTCCCACCCCACCTTCCCGACGCAGGACAGCGGCAAGTCTCAACTTTAATGACATGAAAGGAAAACGCAAAGGGAAACCTTTTCTTTAAAGAAAAGGGAAGGCAGACCGGGTTGCTCAGAACTGGCCAGCAAGTCACATCCTTTTGCTTTTCCCTGAAAGAAAGAGAGCGAGAGAATCCAAGCATCACCTTATTATTTCCTTATCAAGATCAACTCCTGCTTCCTGGAAAGTATTGCTGAGGTAAAAAGCAAAGGTGGCGAAAAAACAAGGGGTTCTGAGCAGTCCAATCTGTCAAGGAAGAAAGGAAAAGGCGGGGGGACACGAAAAGTGAGCGCGTTCAGCATGAGCTGTTTCCTGTGCTCAAGGGGGAAGACGGCAGGCTAGTAACTGTGTGTACGAGGAGATCTGCAGCCGTGTTATCTGTGACCTGCAGCTTAGCCCTTGTGTCTCAGCTGCCAAAAAGCTCCTATTCAATGTTATGCTGAGTTCATCAATGCTCCACGTGTCAGGATCCTAACAGGAAAACGCAGGACAGGCACGCTGCTCTTTCCAACTGCCTGGGGAACCCGTGACAACCCAAATCCCCTTATAGGCTGTCCATATCAACGTACGGCAGGTCAGGGCATATAACCCCTCCAGAACCACAAGCGGCAGCCCCACACCCTCCCCCCCACCAAAAAAAAACACACTTGTCAACGCTGCCGCTTTTAAACCGAACATGGGACCTTATCGGCAAACCCGAAGTAAGGATGACAATTAAGATGGATTGTGAAGCCTGCTGCTGCTGCACAATTAAAAATAACTTGGCAGCACGTCCCACCCAACTGTTGGGTGGTGTGGCGAGAACTTTATCCCAGCCTTGGGCTGTATTAGCATATTTAGTAGGCTGCAAGGCGTAATTCCAAGGCGTAATTCCTGAGATGCGGGCTTTTAAAACGGAAAAAAAATAATCTGCAGTTCAACTGAAATGTGCGGGCTGGATACCACAGGCGATAACGTTTACGAAAAGAGGGCAACATAGCCTTGTGGGCGTCAGGTTTACCACGCGGAGGCTGCAATCCAGAGGATTTGTGTAAGGGACGCCTCCTTGGACATTGTTTCAAGGGCTTGCCTCTCGGGAAATAAGTTTAAACCTGAGTTTGCTGCTCTGTAAATGTGCCTAAGATCAGGCTGCGAAGCTCTTATGATCCTAATCCGTATTAGGAAGGAAGTCTCATTGAACGCAGTAATCTTACTGCAAAACTGAATCACTACAATAAATATCTTGGTGTGCCATTTCTGTAGGAAAATGACTCCATGCAATCTAGGAAAAACAGCACTGCAAACTTTTCTTCGGTACACGGAACTTCCTTGCCTCGTCACTAAATCGGCTGCACTTTAACAGTTAATCTACTAGATGAACTGGGACGGCGGGGCGGGGGGGGGGGATTTTCAAGCTTTTAGATATGGGTGTGCATGTGTGTGTGTGCACACACGTGTACACACATAGCCGAGTGCCAGCCCACTTCGCTTGTTTCTTCTTGTTTTCCAAGTGTTGCTTATGGTATCTACAAATCTGTTTGGGTGGGGGAAGAAGCAGAGATCTTTCTGTAGTCGCTAAGACATTGTCCTCTTTGACATCTGTGTTGCTGGTGGAGAGGATATCCTGCCAAATGTAATCAGACAACTGTGCGACCCACCTTGTAAAGGGAGGCACTACTGACTGATTAGTGCCCAGCAGGAGAAGTTGCTGATTCTTTAAGTCCTCAGCCACCGCCTCTGGGCAAGGAGGGGGGAGAGAGAGAGAGAGAAGGAAACAATACACTTAAAGAGAATTGCTCTGCTTGGGGAGAGATGGCATACAAGAGTAACAAATGCAATCTTGCATACAAAGTCTTCCTTCATAAAACCCAGCAGAGCAATAGATTAATCCACCTGGTGGTTTTGGCAGAGGGAAAAGAAAAAGAAAAAAATCCTTAGCCTCTGACAAAACTAAACAGGTGCACAGGTATAAAACTTTTACTTTCCAGTACCATACAGCCTGCCCCCCCCCCTCTCTCTCTCAACTCTGGAATGCTTTGACAGGTGCAGAAGTTCAAGTTACAGGGTGGAAGTAGCAAATAAATACACAGCATTAGTGTCTGACGTGCTTACTGAGCAACCGGGGATGTTAATAACTGGCAAGGTACACTAATCTCTGATTGCAACATTTGGTTTACCTTAATCTGGAGGGACAGCTGTATTAAAGAGGGAATTATACTAATCAGTTCAAGGCCCTTGCATATAAAACTTCCCATTAGGCTTAAAGTACAACAGCTTATGTTCATTCTCTAGGAGCCTTACATCTGGTTCTGAATAAGTCTGCCTCTCATTTGCAAGGTAGAAACTGAAAACAAGAGAGATTGGTGAGGGGGAGGAGAGAAAAGGAGGCTGACAGTTGCTGGAGGATGGCCGATAGAAGAACAAGCCTCTAATTCTTTGATATTTTTTAAAAGGCACCTCCCAAAAAAACCCCCTCTAGCTTTAAGGCATCTTAATACAAAAAATAAAGCATGTGTTATCAACACTAGGCCATTTTTTCCTGTTACCGGAGGTGACCAACATAAAATAAAATTGATGATGTCAGTCAAAAACAGCTAAGCACAATGCTTGGCTTTGTTATCTTAAGTCAGAAGGTATGATAGGCCATGCCATATGGCTTTAATCCTCCTATATCTTCCATCACCTAACAGGCAACCTTCATGTAGCATGACCTTATTTGGCAGGTCTCAGGTTAGGGCTGCCCAAAGGGGATTTTTCCTCCCTCTGTTTCTGTTATATCCAAAAGGTTTATGTTGATTTTTTTCTCTCTTTTTTTAGCCCTGCAAACTATAAATCCGACTGATTACTCTGCACTCTTTTGCTTGACTGAGCCTTTACAATCAGACATCCCCGTTAACAATAAGCTCCTAATGAATCAAACATCTATGGCATTAGTTTCACCTAGCTGCCTCTTTCCCATGCGCTGCAGCTCTTTGTCAGACCTGGCTTGATGAGAAAAGCTAGTGACACTTGGCGCACCTATTGATAAACAAGGCAGTAATGAGGGAGCATAACAAAAATTACCTCCAACAACCTGATTAGAAATGACAGGCATAGACTACTGCAGAGCTTCGCAGTTAAGGTGACTTTTTCTAATCTTGGGGAGGCAGAGTGGGAGGTAAACATATAATTAAGTACAACTCAAACTACAGTGTTGCTCCTATCAAACTTCCACTGGAAATTAAACCACCATTTATGAGAAGAGTGTTCCTTGTTATGTTTGGCCCTATGGTAGGTGGATGCAAGCTTCAAAAGTATTAGTCTTTTTTTACTGCACTCCTTCAGCCAATAAGCTGTGGAGAGTAAGGATGTGGCAGTTTGCAAATCAGATTGTTTCCCTAGGGTTTAGATCTTAGGTATTCCAAATTAACATTTTAAAAATCACCAAAGTGTTAAAATGTGTTTTTAAAAGATGTGCATGGTATATGCAGGAAAGAATAGAGGAAATAATGCCCAATGCTAAAGGTAGAAATCAAAAACATATGAAAATTCTTGGTTTGAACAAATACACAGTCCGTGTTCCTAACACCAACATCAGGGTAGCTGAGAAATGGGCAAGGTAAGGGGTGTAGGGTGTGTTACAAGGGCAGCCTGAAGCTCTCCAGTGAACTTTAAAATACAAGAGCTCCATTCCAAATGAGAAATGTGTGGCTTTTGCATTTGCAAACCAGAATGTTGGGAGGATTTCAATTAGTGCACAGATGCACTTGAAAATCAAATATGGACATGGGAAATGTGTTTTGGATATAGTAAATGAGAACTGATGACATGTTTACACTTTGCAGATGGGTCCTCTACAAAGCCATCCTTTCTGATAAGACACTATCCACCATTTTCTGACTCCACAGCTTCAACAAAATGGTGATACAGCAAGTAAGTTATGTCTCCGTCTCCAATATTGGCTCAATTTCTTAACATCACAAATGTTATTCTTTATATTACCTGTTTAAGTGACTGTAATGAGTAAGGATGGACAACTTGTGGCCCTCCAGATGTTTTGGCCTACAAGAGCCATGAATCCTAGGCAACTTAACCAAGGGTGAGGGATGAAAGAAGTTGTAGTCCGCCAGATGTTTTGGGCTACAAGTTACTCATCCTACAGAGTCCTAAGCAGTGGTTTCAGTCACATTTCTTGTTTTCTTCACAGGTAACATATTTAAAAAAAAAAAAATCACCAGTATAGCTTTTGCTGAAATACAGTTAAAATCTCAGAGACTACCAAGGTCAGACTTTGATCTGCACAAAGCTGGCTGAAATCCATTGATTTAGATAGGATAGTGTCAGTTTAAAGCTCCCAAGGACCTTCCACTATGTACTCTTTGAAGTATTTCCTCTTGAGTCATGTGTGACAAAGAATGCTGAAGATACTCATAAAAACTTAGGAACACAAGCGGAAATGTAGTATTAATACTAACAATTAATGATCACTGCCTGTTTATCTGTTTGCCCAAATAAACAAGACTGTGTTATGTACAGAGATGTCAAATTAGTAGGTTTCTGGAGCTGCTTTGATGATCAAATCCAAAATTAATCTAATTTTCCCAACTCTTATGAATCAGTATTGGCCTACGAAATGTATCTCTGTTACTGAATAATGCTAAAAATGTGCTGACAAAGGAAGAGAATAAGTGAATATTCAGTACCCAATGTTAGCTGCAGATCATGAGGAACATTGTAAAAATATCTACTTCCTGTCTGTATTCTGGTGCACCAGATTGCTTATCACAGCTCTGCAATCATCACCTTCAGCAGATTACCAGCTGATCACAGACTTGGCAGCGGTACTGCAAAGCTGCCACTCCACAGTGGTACATATATTCATGCTTTGTGTCCCGTTATTGTCTTGGTCAAACCCAAATGTCATGGGTTTCTGCAGCATCAGAAAAGGCCAACAGTGGTCCTCAGCAGCGTGGCCAACACTGTTTAAATAGGTGGACAGAGAACCATCTTGGGCCCAGAACATTATTGGTAATAACATGCACTCCTTAAACATTTAGAACAGGTTTTCTCACACACACACACACTGAACTTGATATGTACATATCCACTGTTATTGAGAAGCTCTGGGAAGCATGTTTGGTTCAATAAGACACTGGTCCATTTTATTGCTTTTCATTATAATGATCATTGTTGAATTCTCACCTTATTTTCCTTCTTTTTTGTTTTAGTGGATTGATTTCAATTTGACCGACTAAGAGAAAGAAAAATACACATTATTTTAAATGTTGTTGTTATGCTATTATATTTTAGTTGATATTCTAGGTATGTTGCATTTGTATTTTAAAAATGAACAGTGATGCATGAATAAATAAAAACATAAATTGTGATTCTCCAAAATTATTAAGCTGCAACCTCTCTACAAAATTTGCTGGGAGCATGCTTGAGACCCGCTACTTCTGAGTAGGCACACATGGAATGGTTAATACGGAATTCCATAACTAACTAAGAAGAATTTATACTGATGCCTAGTTTTAGTACTATTTTTAACTTAGCCAACTGAATGCAAAGGCAGTGGGGTAGGCTCTCTTCTCAGTTTTCTACATTCTAATGCACACCTTGCATGGGGAGCAATGAAGAAACAATTACCTATTAATGAGAAGAGGAACAAATTAATGTACATTAAAGTGTGAGGAACTCACATAAAAGCAATTTAACCACAGTAGGTTTAAAACTTTAAGTAATGGGAACTCTTCAGAATTTCAATGCTATATTTACATACTTGAATTCTCGTTGTGATTATTAATAGTTCAGCGTCTCTCCCTTTCTACCTTATACTTACAGCATGGATACAGAATGTCAAAGCTAATTTACTCTTCAACTTAAACAGTAGCTAAGAATTGCAAACAGAGGTGACTACAGAGGCCTCAGTCCTCCTCATATTCAAAAAGCATTCCAGCTGCATGACTGCTTTGAACAGTGTTTCTTCTGTGTGTAGAATGATGTTGAAGCTGGTCCCAAATCTTCTGATTCTGTGCTAGTACAACAAAAATGAAAATTCATAACTCATCAGGTTGGTTTTGCCTTTGGATTCCTGACCCAAGACCGAGTGGAAGTCTGTAGATGCATTTTCAATGATAAATGTCAGGTATTTGACTGAACTGAAGTAAACCTATTGGACTTTTAACAGCAGATTTGTGTGAACTGGAAGAAGGCCTTCTAACCCCAACCCCACTGCACCTGGACCCACAAAGCTATAAGTCATTTTGGCTCCCCAGGAAGATGCACACGTAGGATTAACTGGGGAGGGGGAGGGGTGTTACATAGAAACAGAGCGAGTCAGAAGGGGTCTCCTGGGCCATCTAGTCTGACCCCCGGCTCCAGCTGGCTGCACTCATGGCATGCCTACCATGTGCATGTCCAGCCTATCCTTGAACACCCTCACCATTGGGGTTCAACCACCTCCCATGGAAGCCCATTCCATACCCCCGGGGTCATAGCTGTGAGGAAGTACTTCTTGGCATCTTGGCTTCCTAAGCTTTGATCCATTGAAATGCGTCCTGCCCTCCACTGCAAGGGGAAAAAAGGCCATGACCTCCTCACATACCTGTATGTTGCTAACAGCCCCCTCTGAATCACCTCCTCTCAAGGCTGAAAAGACCCAGTTCCCTCAGTCTTTCCTCATATGGCCTCCCCTGCAAACCAGCCACCATCCTAGTGGCCCTTTGCTGCACTGATTCCACATGAGGCCTCCTCTGACACAGGAGAGGTTTGCAAAACTGGCCAGACCTAAGAAAGAAGAAAATCACAGAGTCATCCTTGGAGGAGAAGCAAGAGAAAAATAGCTTATCCCATGAGACTAGACTAGTTCATAGATCCAGGACTACTCATGTGGAACCTCTTTTCCAGGAAGGCAGAAGGAACTATGCATTCTGGATAGCAACCAGGAACATCAACTACAAGGAAGTAGCAGGCAGCTGAATCAGTCAGGTGTTAGTCAGATATTATTTCACATCATCAAAAAGTATCAACTTTAATGGATGCAAAAATACAGTAATTAATGTGCTACTGCCAGGGAAGGGAAGGGAAGATGCACTTGTGGGATTTTCCATTTTATGTGCTAAAATGAGTCAGCTGGGTTTTATGTACTGTGCATCATGACTTGGGGACATAGGTAGGTGCTATAAATATTTAGATAAGTAGCAAAAATTCTTGGAGTATCCCTTCTGACATCCCTGCCACAGGGGAATTTTTTGGCCATGTGATGACACCAAGGACACAGAAATTTCACCTAAGACCAGGTCTAGGCCAGGTTTTTGTGCCTAGGACACTTTCCCCGCCCTTTTAATTACAAAGAGGTGGGAACAAGGAAGCCTCGAATTCTGGAAAATGGACCTCCCATCGCATTTCCCTTCTTCCAGCTTCCCTGCCGATGGGCCCATCAGAGCAACCAGGTTGTGTGCAGACTGGTATGCGCTGCTGTTTTCTGCTCCAATCAGTAGGGGGGCAGTGCATGCTGGGATTGCTGCACATCTCCCCACTGCCCAGCTGATTGGTGCAGGAAGCATTCAGGAAGCCCCTGATCAGCACTCAGCTGTTCTCCCTCCTGCATCATCCCCACTGCTGAGGTGAGGGAGGCTGAAAGCAGCTGACAAGTAAGCAGATCAGCATGTTCCTCAGTCGTATCATTCCAATTAACTGGGTAATGGAGACGGTGGCAGTAAATCTACTGGAAAGCAGGGAGGAGGCCTTTGGGCTACATGGAAGGCCACAGGTTGCCCATATGCTCCTTCGATCGTAGAATAGCAGGATGCAAGCTCTCTCACTCAAGCCTGCCCAAAAAGCTGCTCTTCCTCCTGCCTCCATATTCTTTTATATCCATGTACTATTAAAACCTCTAATAAAGCTGGTCTGTTAAAATGCCTTTACTCCTCTAAGAAGACCAGATTCGTTTTCTGTGGAAGGACCCCTGCAGTGTTTTCCCACTTTAAGGAGCCTGTGAGTGGCATCGCAACATCTTCACTTCTGCAGGGCTCTGTCCTAGATGAATGTGGAGCCGCGGTTTTACTTTTAGCTACAACTATTGCTGCTTTCCTGAGAGCAACTGTTTGTTAGTTACACGAAGGCATCCAAATATGGAAGAAAAATAAGGGCCAAGAGACTGATAAGAGCTGGGAAGTGCTAAGACACTGTAGCCTGTGGCACAAATTCCACTGAGGATGCTGCATATGCTGTCAAAAATGCTTCATAATTGTAAAAGAAAAGGCTTGCTCTTCCCAAAAGAAAAACTGATATTCTGATCTACATATTACTTAAAAGTCAGGCTGGTGATCCTCCTTTCTCTCTCAATTCAACGTCAGACACTGGGGTAGGGATTGTCTTTAAGAATACAGTGTATGAATGATGAATGCAGTGTAAATCTTCCCTTTCCACCCACCATAATGGTGAAAATTGCCCTTTGCCCACCCCAGCAATCACTACTTTAAGGGGGAGGGGAGACCCCACCGGCACAGGCCCAAATTCTGTTCTAATAAAGCACTCCAGGACATGCTTGCAGAGCCCGGAAATACCACAGTGCTACATCATGGGTGGCCAACTCATGACGCAGCACATGTTGCGGAGGCGGCACCATGTGTGGCAGCCCCTGTCCGGGACCCAGGATTACTGTGCTCCTGCTAATCCGCTAGCACTGAGCGGCTGTTTCTTCAACCAGTGAGAGGCAAAGCCACCCAAGTCGAGGAAAAGGGCTGCAATGTCCTGTAGTGCACGGTACACTAGAGTCGGTCTCCTCCCATATTTCAGATCTGACTAGCAGTACTTCTGCCAGGAGGTTGGCCCCTCCTCGGTTAAATCATTCCTCTCTTTCATGCACCACACGCCCATGTGTGGAACATAAGCTGCACATCGCTCCCTAAGCACAGGAATCATGGCGACTCGACTCCATTGGAGGGCTTTGGCAATGGCGTTGTGTTGGGCAGCTTCCAAGCCATAGGCCATAATCTTTCCATGCTGGGCACTTTGGAATCAAAAAAGAGAGGCCAATTTTTATACCTTTGAAGTGATTCAACATATGGACATTTGTACAATTAACACATCTTTTAACAATATCTGGCTGCTATCTTGTCAAATCGCATCATCTCTCATTTTGGAATAATAAGAATTCCGTAACAAACACAAATTATCTTCTATGATAGCTTAATTTTTTTAATATGACAAAAAACTGAATTAAGTTTCTCATATCCATAGTTCACAGATGACTAAGTGTAAAGTTTAATTGTTGTTTGTTTGTTTGTCAGCTAAATGACAAATGCAACTAAAACATGTTACATTTTCCCAGGCTCTTTAATTAAGAACATATTTTTCTTTTCACTTACAGCACTGAACAAATTAATAATTAGTTACAAAAGAGGTATACAGGGCCAGATTTCATCTGGTGTAAATCAGTACAACAAAACTCAGGAATTATCTTTAAGGCACATTCTTCAGGAACATACTAAATGTCTTACTTTCTTAAACTTGATTTCTCCTCCTCTGTGCCTCTGGTGGAAGATCAGCAGCAAAAGGGGCATTGCTGTCTCTGGACAGAGACAATGCAGGATTCCTGTGGCCCAGAAGGATACTCAGCCCCCAGGAGCCTCGACTGGGTCCCACCAAGGGAAATAAGGTATCTCTCCCAAATGCGTATCAAGCTACTGCACATCCAAGCGCAGCAACAACACCCAGGCTTAGCCCTGGGAGCCAGTGTGGGGTGGAGGTTTGTGTGTTGGACTGGCACTCAGGGGTCTGGGTTCTGGCCCCCACTCAGCCGTGAAGCTCACTGAGTGGGAGCTCACTGGGAGACTTTGGGCCGGTCGCAGGCACTGTTGCTGCGAGGATCAATGGAGAGCGCAGCCTTGTAAGCCACTTTGGATTCCCTGAAAGAGGAAGAAAAGTGGGGTACAAGTGTGATGAGGATGGCGACAATAACAACAACGATGGAGAAACAGAAGTGAAATTCTTCAGAAATGCCTGCTCAACCCAATTCCAGCGAAAATAGTGCTATTTTCCTGAAACATCTAAGCTCTATTGTCAACATTCCCAGTTCCACAGCCCTGAAAAGAACGGCAGCCTCCTCTCCTTCTTTAACGGTATATGTGGATTTGGAGCCAAGCCTATTATCGCTGGGTGGAAATCTCACAAGAACAGGTTGTGTGCTAAGATGTTTAGTTCTCCAACTTCTAGTCCCTGTTGGAAGTCTAACGAGAACAGACTTTCCTCACAGGGCTCTGCCA